TTTTTGCAGTAGAAAAGCACGCATTTTCACGGGCGCCCGTTCGCAACCGAATCTGTGAAACGGCTGCGAGCATCACCATGGCGATTGCATGCGTGAGCAACCAAGCGCGGGAAATGTCATTGATGCGCATGGCTCATGAGTGAGCAAGGCTAACCATGGTTCCTCGGTTCATGAGCAAGCAAGAACCATGAATTACTTAAGCCATGCATGCGCAAACCCCATCGTGTGAGTCAAAGCGACCGGCCCACGAAATCCCAAAGCAACTGCTTTGTAACCGCGCATCTGCGCCCCCCGCGTGCACACACGCAACAAACCTACCGACCAACGAAAAACTGTCGTCGCTACCTTTGCATGTACGTATAGTCTTGTCCTTGGCGCATTTGTAGTCGAAATGGAACATTTGCAGTGTATACACTATAAACGCGCATTTCCACTTACCGCTTTTTTTAAAGTCGAAACGCATCTCCAGGTGAATCGGGTTAGAAGATTTCGCCACAACTGGGACACCGACGAGACCGTCAAGGTTCCTGATTCTTGTGTGCAACTTCTCAATGAATTTGCTGCGCAGCGAATGAAGCGTTTTCAACACACTGCGGGCCAGAGCAGACAATTTACAGTCGAAGAAGTACAAGCGTTCAGTCCTTTTGAGTCGAATGATATTTCGGTCGAGGAGCTGAAAGCCTCCGTTAAACTGGAAGGCGAAGACCCGCAAGACGTGTTGCAGTTCATCAACCTTGTCCCCACCGTCGAGCTTCCGGAGGAGCAAACTGCACTCAACAAACCAGTAGATGATCAGACTACAGCCGGCGTAAATGCCGAGCCGAAAGTTGAGACCATCGATGCAGATGTGGAGATGACGGACAGCTATACTGGTGGGACTGATGATGTGCCCGGGCCAGATACCAATCCAGCAGGCGTGAATGCCTTGCCAACCGCGCCCGAGCCCGATCAACAAATGGCAAAGATTGAAGCCGATGTACTTGAAGTTTTGGCGGATGAGCCGATGGCCACTGAGGAAAGTAATCAACCCGTTGCAGGTACATCGTCGTCTTCCGCTTCGAAGCCACCACTGCCACGATTACGAGGCAAAGGACAGGGGCAGGGTACTCCTGCAGCTGCTCCCGTAACGGGGAGCTTCTTGGAGCCTGACGACGACGTCGATCTCAACTTGAAATATTCTGGAAAAGGGAAGGGTGCACTCGTTCGCGAGATCAAACCCAACCCCGAGTACAAGAATATGAAAGTTGAAATCGAAGAAGTCCTGAACAAGTATCCTTATCCGGATCACCTGTTGAAGGCCATCGGCAATGGCGGAATTCAGCTTCTTGAAGAAGAACTAGGCCGCAACGCCAAACAGTATACCTTGCATCATGTCACCGGCCATCGATACTACTACGAGTATGAGGACAACCATGGCATCCCATGGGAATGGTGTTGCTCTTGGCCGTACCACGTTCGCCGTGGCATTTCAGGTTTGTTGCGAGGACATGTTCGAGACATTGGAGTTTATGACCCGGCGTGCTATTTGCCAGTTTACAAATTGTTACAATTGGCTCAAGCGAAATTTCCGGACTACGCTGATTCAATTAATTTATTTAACTTATTTCCATGGCTATATACGACGAAAAGGACAGAAATGAGTTCCTTTGTGTTTACGATTCCCGCGTGAATGAGGCCCTTGAACTTTGGGCAGCGCCTGTGAAGGTGAGGTGTGGCCAAGGACATACAGACGACGTTCTCGAGACAAGGTCAAACGAAGTTTTGGCGAAGACTATCTACTGCCGTCCTGACCACATGCATCGGTATAACCGTCGCTTCACCGCACACGGCAATAGAGACATCCCATCACGTCTCTATCACCGGACGCATGAAGATGCCGCACGAGGTATAATTGCGAACGGCCTCCTCCCCGGAGGAGGTACCGGTGGGCCGAAAAGCAAAGGAAATTCGTATTTTTCAATACTACCTCTGGGAGACCAGAAGGCAATGTCTGGCGCACACACAAATCAACCCGTTGAGCTTTGCTTCTCTACAGCCAAAATCATTGAAGCAGGCGTTGACCTATTTTTGACAAATTCAAATGCAATGATTACAAGTCATCATGTTCCCAACACGTGTATCCTCTTCGCCACACGTGCCCGCGTAAATGCGGAGCCAGAAGTGTTCTACTCAAGGCCACAGACTATTGATCCGGCGAATATGGACGTTGGGGCACCACAGGATGGCGTTACATTGATTCCAGGTGATATTGCCGAAGTGAAACAACAACAGGATACAAATGAAGCCACACCTGAAGAGCGAACAGCCGCGAGCAGCGCAGTCAAGAAGGAGTCTATGGAGGCAAACCAAGAGACGGCTGTACCGCAGATCGAGAGTGGATATTTTCTCCACCTTCGGACATTCAGCTGTGACAAGTGTACCACGCTTTCCTTAGCCGGAATGGCGTCTTGTCACAGGTGTGGGGCAGTGTTTCAAGGCAATGCCACAGATGGTCCTGTTTCCAAATTCATGAGATTGCAGATGAGGCGTGCTAAGGCCGTGCAACAACAGGGGGGCATTCCGACAAACATTACAGCTACCAGCATGCTTGGCAGCATTGCCGCGCAGGATATGCAACCTGGTCGTCCTCCCGCACGAGGCAGCCCATCAGTTGACAGTCAGATTATTCTCGCAGCCCGAGGCCGTCTTCGAAGAGCGTTGAAAGAAGGGCATGAGAATGTCTACGATCGATTCAACCGCGACGATGTATTCGCTACCTCCTTAACCGGAGAGGGCTGCACTGCATTTGATGCGGCGCAGGAAGATTTGTATGCGTCACTGCAACTACCAGCACCCTCACGATCCGCGAAGCAGAGGTCCAAAGGGAAGTCAGTCGTCAGTGACTTGGATCGTCAAGACAGAGTTGATCTCGCCAAGCTCGCGTACATTCGATGCGGCGTTGACAACTTACATACCTGTTTCAAGCAAGGCCTTGACGAGAACTTTCTGATCAGCTACCGTCGTGAATTTCTATCTCTTCGACAATTTGCTGCCGTAATTGGCAACAGCCGCGACGAGATTAAAATTCAGGGTTTCATCCCGACCGAGGACGTATACGGCGACATTCATTCAATCCGCATTCCTCGTGGAGACACGATGGGCATTTACAAGATCTTGAGCGAGTTCGCGGAGCAGAATGAAGACCCCGCCAATGTACAGTATCAACGAAATGCTACACAGTCTGCAAATATGCAATCGCGTGACAGAGGGCAATCTATTCAAAATTTAGGCTTTATGAATTTGGAGAAACGCATGGCGACGCCATTGCCGAAGTTTGCCGATTGTGGGCAAGACATGACCTCCTGCGAGGTTCACCGACTGGAACAACTTTTACTGGAATTTGGGCAGCGCGAAGCACCTTCTCCACAAGTGCCTGTAACTAGGCCACCATTGACTCGAAAGCGATCACAATCGTACATCGAGGGCGTTGCCGACGGCGACAAGCGACCAAGATTACAGTGGAGGAAGAAGGAGGAACGCGGCCAGTCCGGCCGCATCGCTTCATGGGTTGACGAGAGAGTTCCTCCGCCAGGCGTGCCTCGTCCACCTGCTCCCGTAACTGGGACGCATACATCATCGGTCTACACCATCCTCCTGGTCGAGAAGAAGCTTCACCAAAGGAAGACTTCCCTAAACGGAATGTCAGTGCAGAGCAGAGCATTGCAGGCAAAGGCAAAGGCCAGGGCAGTTCTCCTATCAAAGGAACAAATGCTCCCCTAAAAGGGACGCCACGTGGTTCAGTCGGCCGTGCAATGTCACATCGTCCTGAGGATATCATGCCCAGGCGAGGCAACATACCAAAGGACCTGTTAGGTCCGCCACTGCACACCCCACCAGCAATTCCAGCAGCAAAGCCACATGTTCCAAAACCACCAAGTCATCCACCACCTGTGCCAGTGAAGGCAGCCCCTTCACAGCCACCAGCAAAACCTTCACCACCGAAGGTTCCACCACCCAAAGTGCCTCCTCCGAAAGTTCCGGCCGCCAGATTTCAATCTGACACCGAAGCCACCGCCGCTTGCAGATCTATACAACCGATTGCAACCTCCCGTGAAAGGGAAGGGCAAAAGCAAGCAGCAGGTGAGCCAACGAGGAGGACCTTATGATCCACAGCAATGGAATTTACAGAATGTGCCACCACCGCCGCTACCTACACGAGTTCCTTCGGCAGCGGCATCATCATCCAATGCTCCGGTAGCTGGGCAGCCAACAGTGTACGGAACGGATGATCGACCATTGGAGCCCTTTGACTTTCCTGGGATACAATGGCAACGCACAGATCCATGGGCTGAAAATTATTGGCCAAATCACATGGAACTCCGTCAGTGGATGCAACAGGGATGGCACGATGAAACGGAGCGTTTTGGATACAGGCATTATTGAAGCAACATTGAACTGCTACCGTAAATGGTATGACAACAGCCTATGAGTGTTGAGATGAAGATCACCTTCTGACGCGCTGTGAGATGATGTTTCACTTCATTGTCTCACTTCCCAATGCATCCCTAATAGGATTGCTGTAGTCGGAGAGTGAACTTTTAATCAATACTCTATCTAAGTCTGGGTCAAGCATGTTTAACCACATGCCGAGTGAGCCGCAAGGTTGTACATTAGGGTAGCTACGTTCTCCATGTATAGTGCATGCACGAGCTTGATGAGGGATTTCTAATATGATTCCTTCGTCGCTAGAATTCAATCCTCCCCGAGATTTTCCCTACGGGTAGCTCCTTGTAAAGGGGGGTGTTGAAATTCCTCTCACCCCTATGGACCCCGTAGCGTGGACTCTCAAGGTAGAGTAAAATAGCCCGCTTAACGGCTAGGCAGGGTTAGCTAGATAGCTAGGGAAGTTAGAGCTGATCCTGTAAAATACAAAAAGGATCTTGTGTATGTGAAGGTCTCGGAGTTCATTGTTTTAAAGCTTGGTTTTGGTCCAAACGCTGGTCCAAACGCTGCAGTGCGAGGAGCTCATGGTCAGTTCTGATCCTTGTGTGCCGCCCATGGAAGAAAGGGAGGCACCAGAAGGACATCCTTGCAAAGTGGATTCAGTTCGAAGTGAGGAGGGTTTCCGCCAGTCCGACACCATGAACTCTGAGAAGCCCAAATGGGCGGAGGTACTAGCGCATACCAGTTCAACTAGTACAATGGCTTCCACGCGTTCCTTGGCTTGAAGAGCAAAGGAGTAGCTGGTAAGACTTTCCAGCATTGTTTGGCATTTGACGACTCTTGAAAGCAGGATTCTTTTTCTTTGTAGAAGATGGTGAGCGCAAGAATAGGTGTGGATCACCCTTAAGGTTCAAAATCTCTGACTCTGTTCTTCCATCCCGAGCCTTGGTCTCCAGTTGTGCCCTCTGTTCCGTCCTCGGGGACGTGGAAAACCATCGCATGGTTTGCTCAGGCTCGGAAAAGAGCCTGAAGAGGAAGTTGCGTCGGGAGGTGGCCATTGACGACTTTCTAGAAGAAAACCACTTCGCTCACATGAATGCGCTCCTCAGCTGTACATGTGCAACTCTTGCTCTCACAGTGAGTTCATGAAACCCATGGTTTGATGATGTGTGGTTGGGATTGTAGGATACGAAAGGCAAAAGGGAAGCACTATATATATAGGCCTTTTTTCTCCTCTTCCCAACGCTCAGGCCACAACAATCTCAGGCGTGCTTTCCAATGCCTGGATTCTCTCGACCAGAAGTGCTTTACCCCGTCCATGTGGCTGCTCAGCAGGGTGATCATGTGATGCTTCGAATGCTGTGCTCAGAAGGAGCAGATCTAGAACAAAAGACCTCCAAAGGCCGCAGTACTTGGGACATCGCAAAGGAAGCTGATCGCTTCGGATCGCACCAGCAGGTCCTGGGCCTCTTGGATTATGGGGAGCAGGGAACATTGATTTCATTGTGACTTGAGTTACTTTCTATTTTTTGGTGGAGGCCATTGCTATTAAAAGCAACATAACAGGAGTTATGTTATTATTCTCTATTTTTTTTAACGCAGGGGTGAGGGGTAGGCGGTGAGAAGTGGCTAGTAGCTTAAGTAAGCTACCTAGGACGGAATTTTTACGCTTCAAGGAAGCTCCCCGCGCGTGACCTCCCCCCGTCTTCAGGTGGTTCCAAGATTTTTGAACGCCATCCACTGAGGCCTGTTGGACAGCAAGATCGTGTCCCTGCGAGCCTTCCGCAAAATGGCAGAGGAGTCCTCAACACCTCCGAACCAAGCCAAACTTGCCAAACAGGCTTGCCTGTAGGCTCTCGGAATAGGTCGTGAGGTCCAGGCTCGCAGCTCGCAATGTTCGCGTGCGACCTTTTGACTCCCCGAGTCTTCGCGTTGTCTCTCACTTTGCATTTCATATGTACAGACTACGGCAGGGGTGCTAAGAAATCCGGTGCTCGGAAATCCCGGATAAATAATTTCCAAGACACAACAGACACAGGGCCAGTACTTGGTCTGTGTCCTCCAACCTTAGATGCCAATGTTTGCGTGTTGTTTGCCATTCATCTGGGGGCGATTGCCTGTGGCATAAAGCCAGTTGTTCGAGGATCTTCTTGAGAAGGTTGTCGTCATTGCCAGGAGATTTGGCTAGAAATCATGCAGGCTTTTGTGGCTCCATCAATGATTCTTCGCATAGGTCGCCCCTCAGAAGATTCAAGCTCTTTGTAGGACGGTCGCAGGTTGGAATAACAGTAGCGATAATTCCTTCATCCTTCATGTTTGTTTTGTGATAACATGTGTTGGGTGGAGGCTTGGCAAATGGGAGGGCGGCAAGATCATATCGCTTCAAAGGATTTTGTCCTTTACAGCGTGCCACGTGAACACGTAATTGCCTTACTTATTATGTTACTTTAGCATCTACCTCCAAAAGAGCGTCGAGTAGATTGCGAGAAACAAAAAATGCCCGTCGGAGCGCCGGTGTCGTTGGGGGGTTGCTGATGTCCTTGCCAAAGTATTGCATCGAGGGACGTGCTCATGCTGACATGTGATGGTCAGACTCAGACTTCAAAAGTCAATGTTCATGGAAACATATATGGAAGCTGTATTGGTTGGGAGCACAAGGGTCTTCTGATTTGGTGTAGGGCAGTGTAGGGGGTAGGGGATACTGACATAAACGGTTTCTTCCCTTTCTATCGATTTCTCCCTTTGTCCAGGTGGGTCTCCCAAGATCTCAGATGCCACCTGTAGCTTCAATCTCTTTGCTTCGTAAAACTGCAAGAAGCCTCATATGCCTCGCTGGCCGTTCCAGCCCAAGCTCCGGGGGGTCTGCGTTGCGGGCTGTTGAAGCTCAGCTTTGTCGGCGGTACCGCGGAAAAAGGCCAAAGATGCAAAACATCACTCCAGACGGGCACAGATGCATTCCCTTTCAGACGACAAACTGTGTATTTTTTTGACGGCATTTTTGGGGTTTCCTGAGTCCGGAATTCCAGGTGCACAGCATGGATTGGCCTCCAGCTGGGATGGATTACAACACAAAGAACTTTGAGAAGTGCTCCGTGGTGTGGTCGAAGAAGTGGAACCAGAAGGACCGGAACACCAGAAGCATAGGGCTTCTTTCAGCGACGGTCTCAAGGGCAAGCAATATGATTCTTTGCAGAACTTGTGGAGATGTTGGATGGCCCATAATGTGTGAAGCAGTCTTGACTTGCACACGGCTCCTGCAGGCTGCAAGTTGTATAATTGGGTAGGCGACCGTTGGCTATAGAATTTACCTTTTCAGTGGGTCAGTAGGTCAACGGCATTCTGTGAGCGGGTAGATGCGAGTAAGATCCTTTGTGGAAAAAGGACCAGAGATGACTCCTTCGGTCCAAATGCAAAGAGCATTCAGCCAAGGGCCTTGGGTCCTCAGAATCCTGACAGCCTTCAGGTATCATCACCTCATCCAGTACGCTGTCCCTGGGGAGGTTGGGCGTGCCCGAATGAATCCTGTGCTTTGCAAGCAGTGAGTGTTAACCAATCATCATGAAGCTGCCACAAGGCCACCGGCTCACAGGTTGATTACTCATAAAAAGAAGGCAACCTGAAGCGCTTTGGTAGGTAGAGTAGCGCAGTAGTGTTCAATTTAGACTCGTTGGAGGGGTTACTAAGACCTAGCAGGACCCAGCAGCTACAGTCTTTTCCAGACCTTTCCAAGCATATCCTTTTGGTCCATGTTATCAGATCGTGGACAGTCAAGTCCTTCCAAGATGCTAGTGATCACCATGGGGCACCGTACCCGCAAGCGCGCCGGACAGACCAAGAATATCAAGATTTGCCGCTGCTGGCAATCGAAGAAGTTCCCGTGCGCGATGGCACGGGGTCAGTCTCTGCGGGAAGTTAGAGAAACGCCTATATATAGACTTTACTTTACTGGATAAGGAATGAATGGTGTTGAAGCGTTGGTTTGCAGAACCTGGTTGGGTACCCAAGCTGGTGTGGTATAGGGTATATGGCTTTGAAAGATGGCTTGGTCTAGGGGATGCTGATCGGTACTGTACCACACAAGGTGCTGCAGTTTCTCAGTTTGCATGCGCTGAATGAATTGTGGCTGCGGAGACTGGAATCGTCAGCTTGTGCAAGTTGTCTTCGCGGGACCATTGTGTCCTTTTGCATCTACCAGGTACTGTGATGATACGCACAAGACTCTAATCGAGGTGGGATTTCTCGCTAATGATTTGGAAGCTGTCGAACATGTACAAACACCGTCCATTGCAAGTTCTGTGACAACGTGAGGAGAGTCAAAAGAGAAACAACTTTTGATGTGTGGCCTTGTCATAAATCTTGATGAGCCCAAAGGCTTATGGCGGGTGACACTGCCCCCTGCAAAGTTGTCAAAAAACTTTTGCGTGTGTCCGCCTCTCGGCTTGGTCACGCTAGCGCTGCATTAGTCTGCTAGGCAGGAGACAATGTTGGTCCATTTGTGGTCGCATCCTGAGAGTTGCGACACCGTCAAAAGGTCAAACGTCCTTTGAGTGACGTTTGCAGGCACATCTGTGCTTATTTCTTCAACACAGCGCTTGCTTCTTAAAAAATGTGCACATCACATATCATATACGCGTCGTAACAAGATGACCAGGCCACTTGTCGTAGCAAGCCTTCTTGTTGAAATGAACATGAATCATCGATGAGGTGAAGGTGAATCCAAAGCCAGCAACCACCAATGTGGCAGCCAATTATCTTCAAGCTCGAAGTCAGGCAAGTTCGGATGTCGGCTGGGCGAACCCCCCAAGGACCTTTCAGCATCCTTGAAGAACGCGAATCTTGCCGAGTCAACACGGGGTAGTCTTACAGGACTGGAGAAGTTAACCAATTATAAATCTTGGAGTTTATCTTGAAGACTTGAAGACCCTGTGCTGACTGCAGTTGCGCCCCGCCCATTCTGACGACAGCCCAAACGCCACAGATCCCTCGCACTGCTGCTTTTTTTGCAATGGGCTTTGCAACGGTGGAGTGCTCAGCTTCTCTACTCAGGTTAGAACACCATTGAATCAACAGATTCTTACATGACGTTACAGTATTTGCTTGCATAGATGCTGATTTGCAAAATGGCTGAACACGATACATCCCGTGAATAAGTTGAATAAGCTGGTGCGTTTCTGCTCTTGCTTCTTTCGCACAGAAAGCTGGCATCCTTTCAAACAGTTGCAGGGATGTTCTGTCGACTTTTTATATATGTGTTCAGACAGATCAGACAGTTAAGAGAAGAATGTTGTTGGCAAGATGTGGGGACTGCTTTGGCACCTCAATGATCCTAATCATTTAATCCGAATCCGGCGTTCTTAAGCGGATTGCAGAGAAGCATGTCCGAAGAAAGGAAGACTTTAACACAGTACACTAAAGGCACAGCATCATTCTTCAATGCTTGATTGCTGTTGTTCCTTGATGTGCGACATTGTGCTTTCACCCGTGCCCCACTCCACCCCAGGTGGGAATTGCTTGTGCTGTTGGCCTTTCATATGTCAAGGGTTATCGACTTCATGGCAAGGCCGTGGGAAGTGTGTGGTTGGGATATTACAGTGTGTACGTTCCAGCAAGAAGATTCCAGATTCTCCAGAACAGGTTGGGCTTCCAAAGCAGCAAGGTGAAGTTCCTGAAGCAGCATAGTGATTCGTGGAGTGTCATGTGCTTGTCGGAATCTGTCTGTAAAGCCACGACCAGCATGGACCATGTCGAGAAGACCATGACTTTAGTCCAATCGATCTGCACGATGTGACCAGAGAGTCCTCCCTATATTGATCATAGTCGTGAAGAGCTCAATGGAGAAGATCTCCCGAGTGTTTCGTGGAGAGAAACCGCGATGCAGCACCGACAAAAAGATGAACTCGGTAACACATTCAAAGCAGGAACCATGCGCTCAAGTACACCTGCCTTTACCAGAATGGGCTGTGGATGTATATAGCTAAAACACTCCCAGACTTCCTGCATTCCCATTTTTCGAAGAACCGTACAAGCCCCGTGTCCCAAGCAAACCAAGCCAGCGAATTGAGTCACGACGACTTTTGGGACAGCCTGGCTACAGTATACTGATGGCATTTTGCCGCGCCATGCATAATACCAAGTATTACCAAGTCATGATGTGCAAATTGTGTTTGCTCTTGCAGGCTCAATCACTTGCCCATCACACTCCTTCCAACTGACAACGGACATTTCCTTGACATCATAGAACCCACACGATAAACATTCAACAGACGCCGGTTGTTGTTGGCACTTGATTTTAAGGATAAACCATACCATGGTGAGTTGCTTGAGCGATTTGCATCTCTGCAGCTTGGATGACTTACCATAAGTCGCGCTCCTCATGCTTTGGAGGGTGAGCGCCACCAGGCTTGGACCACAAGTGAAGCTTCTTAAGAATGCAACTTCCAACCTGCAAAGTGGAGAAGCAGTGCGAAGTGAAGTGGCCTATTTATTCAGTATGCATTCATGCCAGATAGATAAAGTTCTTTATGCAAGACTCTGTAGCTGTAGGGACCAGCACAGCTACGTTCAGGTCCTTTCGCAGTGCGCGAAGGTTTTGTGATGACAGTCGCATTCTGTGGGCGCCTGGAATGAGACAGGCCGCAATGGGTGATAGACGTGTTGAGCCGAAAGATTTGAGGCCAGGCTTTCTTGCGTTTGTCATCTACACAAATGGCACAGCTCCGTGGAAGACTGCCCCGAAACCTAAAGGTCGTAAGAAGACGAAAAAAGAGTGCTTCAAAGAAAAGAGTGAACTCATGACGAAGTTCACATCATGAAGAACATTTCGATCGATCGCTCCCTTCGATCGATCCATCCCTTCTCTTTTTACTCCCTTCCCAGGTGGGAGACGACCAGTGCCACGTACGTTTGGGCGGCAAAATTCGCCGAATTCCTCAGACTGGAAGATGCTCCATGAGAGAACACGGCCCAAAATGGCAGGACTTCTAAGGGAACAACCCTTGAGCTTCCCAGCTTTCCCAACTCCAACAAGGCTCGTCCTTTTTGTTACTAGTAGCGTCCTTGCTCTTAGTAGTAAAGCCAGGAGCCCCTAGTAGCTTCTTCAGCATGGCTTTGTCTTGCAAAAGAATGTCTTGCACATAGAAACGGATTTGCATGTTTGCAGAGACCTCGGGACAGTTTTTTTTGGCACTCAATCCATTATTCGATGAGACAGAACTTATCCCATACAACATTTTCCTGTGATGTTCCTTTACTCCATTTTGTTGAATTGGTGATGCTGACTGATCACGGGCCACCGCTCTTGTCAGTGGAAGAACAATTGCAGTGTCTTGCAAGTTTTCACTTCAGATGCAGGAACTAAGAACTTACAAATACACCCATCTGGTGGTTGGCCTTTCCTGAAGCAGAGCCATGTTTGGTGAAGCACCACAGTTGTGTGAAGCCACCTCGCCCAGCTCTATCGAATTCCATCGAGGCCTCATGTGCACAGAGCCAAATGGCTACTGTGCCCATGCCTGAGATGGGGCCAAACCGCCAACACCGCGATGGTTTCGGTCTGAAGGGTCGTCAAGTCGACCCGTCCATCGAATGATGGGCGTCTTCAAGACGCCGCCGGACTCCGCCGACTCCGCCGACGCACCGAAGCCTTTCCCGGTCACCGACCCACTCGAAGAGGAGCCAAGGCATAAATCTCTTCACTGGCGAACTGGTGGGCATTGGGGAAGGCGTTGCTGTGGTGAACTTGCTGGAGATCTGAGATACCCCTTTGGAGATTCTCTCGGTCAGCTAGGCTAAGTTGGCATTAGTAGGATTTGCATGGATTTGCACAGGTTTCTCAGACAGGACTGATTGCTGACTTGACCGGCTTCAGAACTCCAGAAAGCCTGTTCCTTTGTGACTCAGAGACTTCACTGTCCTTCCAACCAGCGACTGGTCTGCGTGGTCTGCGACACGCTGAGGTCGTTGGTGCTCGGGGCGAAGTGGCGGTGGCCAATGCCATGAGGAGTCTCGCCTGGGCATGGGGACCCAGCAGGGACCCAGGCAAACCCGGATCCGTAGACAGAGCGAGGAGAAGCGGATGGCAGACCGAATGGCGGACCGTGAACGTCATTGAACGAGCTCGTTGATCACGTTGCTGTACTTGCTCTTGTAGAGGGACATGACGCTGGTTCCCGTCTAGAACAGAGCATTTCTCCAGGGCTGCTTGGAAGAAGACGACTTATATAGTTATCCTGACTACATCTGACTACTGCGAGCGAGAAAGACCCTGACTTGCTTTTGACAAGAACGCCACTCTTGCAAGTTGAAGGGACCTTCTTTTCGATCCCAGCTCTCATTCCTCACTGGCGCAAACGGTTTGCGATCTTTTGTGAATCCCTTTTCCTTGGGAGTTGGGCCCACTTCGCAGAAAACAACAAGAATGCTGGCGACTAGACCCTACTAGGCCACTCGGGGCCACTCGGAAGATCCTAGCGAGTCGCTGGCACTAGGCATCTGAAGTCGCGCAAAGCCCGCTGGACTTCAAGGTTCGTTGGCAGGAGGAGCACGGATGTCGCTTGTGATATCGTCGAAAAAAGATAAACATGTCACAGTTGGTACATCGCGGGTAGTTGAACTGAAATGACTTGGACTAGGCATTTAGGTTTTAAGACAGACATGAACAATGGTAAGGTTCCCTTATCTTCTTCCTTTTCCTCTCTTCCTTCTGCTTCCTTTTGCTTCCTTGTAGTAGTCCAGTGCATTGGCAACGTCGACTACCTGGAATCCGTGTGCACAGTCTGCGCTTCTCACAATCAGTATCTCCCCTGGGATTTTTTTGGTCTTTTTCTTCAGCCATCATGTGTGATGTTTCGTCTTTGATGTGCTTTCGTCTCAAATGAGGAGCCTGGTGACATGCGCTCACTTCGCTTCTTTTGTGACATCCCAGAGACGTGGACACAATGGAAGCAGAGGCGGGAGCATCGGCTTTTGTTAAAGAGAGCCGGTCGATGCAACATGAAGCCAGTGGCCTTTTCTTTGCGATTCTCCATTGTGGTCGGGTCCTGACACCTTGTTAGCCCCTAAGTTCATCTCCATGCTCACCTGCCAGACCGTGGCCCAACGAAGGCATTCATAGGTAGACGATTCGTCCGTAGCTCGCCATGCTCTAATTCCTAATTGCGGTCACGAGCAAAGACAGATAGATAGCATAGCATAGCATAACATAACATTATATACATAACACAAACATACATAAACCACAAATACATCAATGAACGCTTCGTGCACTTCGTTTTCAATGCTCAAAGGATTGTGGAGATCCTTTGGACATCATTTTGAGAGCTGTAGGGCTATTGACTTCAATCTAAGTCCAACGAATTTGCAACGAGTGGGCACAGACCTGCCAGATGGGCGATGGTAGAGATACCAGAGAATGATAAGAACGAGAAGAAGCCTCTCGATGTGACGCCCTACACGGACGTCACCAAGCTACGCGGCAAGCTGGACCCGAAAAAGCTCCTAGTAGCTTCTGGTTCCTAGTAGCGATGCCAGGAGCCCCCAGTAGCATCTTTGCTCCTAGTAGTAAGGCCAGGAGCCCCTAGTAGCTTCTTGTTCCTAGTAGCTTTATTGTTCCTAGCGATGCCAGGAGCCCCCAGTAGCATCCTTGCTCCTAGTAGCGATGCCCTTTGCTCCTAGTAGCGTCCTCTACCCCACAAAGATTTTTGTGTCCCACCCAGAAGACGATACGCGCGTCTCAGCCCCTCTAAACAACCTTCTCTGACGTACGAAGTGAAAGAATGGCCGGCCATAGGCTGGTACATAAGGTCCGAATAAGGTTTTCACTTTTTTTTTCCGAAACAAATTGAGGATGTCAAGAAAGATCCGTGTTGAAAGATCTTTGGTTCTTCACCAACCGTAAATCCTACGAGACCGACCGTGACCAGTGTGGAAACCCAAGAGTAACAAGGGAGTGTTGTGTTGAAACATGTTGAAATACAGTGTGTTGAAAAGAGACATATAGCATCTACCTAGTGCGCTTGAGTTGAAACGGTTCCTAGATTTGGAGGGACATTTGTTCACAAGGCGCCTTTCTTCTCGGATTCTTTTGAGATGGGCCTCCTAAGAGCAGCCGTCATTCTTCTTTCACCCAGGCTGTCGATCGCCATCTCCATGCGACATCGCAAGGTGGACACCCTTTGCGCGACACTGCTTTTCAGGGTGCTTCTCAGAATACAACAAGGGTCTTCAAGGGCCATAACATGCCGTGACCTACAGCCTATCATGAATTTCGTTTCGCCTTTGAGAAAGCATGAACTGTGTGAACGGATGACGGATGCACACTCCCGACGGATGCAATTTAGACTAGTAGGAACTCCGTCATTCATTCTTCCAAACGCACGCTCCAAAAGGTGGAGAATCGCACCTGGCACCACAATCCAGCCTGAGCTTCAAACATCGAGGTAGCAGCCTTAAATAGTTAGAGCATTTGATGTTGGAAAAGCATTAGATAGTTGGTGTGTTGGATAAACAAGGATCCACTCATCGCTATGCTTGTCCCATGGCCCTTCTGAACCTGTGGTTTGAGGCGAGGTTGTTCCACTTTGAGGGGTTAGGGACGACGGACCCTGCACAGCAAACTGACAGAGCAAACCGTGCAGAGCTTGATGTAGCAATGCTCAGAGTTCCACTTTGAGTTGGCTCGTGTTGGACTTGTTGCGCTGATTCATATATAACCTTTGTTGCAAGTCCAAGAGGTCACGGGCTGAAGCAAACACAAGTCGTGTCACTTAGTATAGGAAAGCACAATCAAGTTTCTCCTCAGCTGCAAAGAAAGCATCACCAACAACGATGTGAAGTTTCTCCCACTACGGGAGCTGCGATGAGCCGGTTGTTGAAAGGCCAGGTGTGTCAGCTGCACTACGACTCCGGTGGCATTTTGGAGTATCAATCCCTCAGTGGCAAAGAGTATCTCCGTTTCTCACGTGCTCCACTCTTCTTAGCCATCGGTCAAGAGGTTTGTTTCCAGAAGCGGTGTCTTCCTGGTTGGGTCGATTCAGTGGAGCTGTTCGAGGCAGTAGACCTGCAGGTCCTGTGTTCGGTGCCACAGATGCCACAGGAGCAGACCCAAAAGCGAGATTTGACTCAGCTGTCCAAAGCAAAGCCAGAGAGGTCTGGAGGTCAGATTCAGCGCCTGCAGCGTAGAATCGCCCTTTTTCGCAATGCCGGACACGGAGAACAGCTGGAGCTAGTACTTCAAGCCGAGAGCTTGTTGAACACCTTGGTTAGCCAATCAGAGTTAGATGGCAATGCAATTTGCCGCTTAGTGCGAAAGTGTGCAAGTTGGTTGAATGCACCAGTTCTGCAGACCAGCATCCAGCAATATTGCGCTTCTTCAGCCGCAAAGGAAAAGAGCTTGCAGTGGAAAGTGCGTAAGATATTAATCACAGCTTTGAGCCACCTGGATTTGCATGATTCAGCAACACGTCAGGCAGTGGAGACAGCATTGTGCTACATGTCCTCCTTGGTTCAGCGGCTTGATGAGAAAGCTGCCTTCCTGTCGAAACCTGCGCAATCGCAATCTTGGAAGCAATGGTTGCAACTGCGGGGGGCTGCTTGAGGATGGCTATTCTCCTGTAGATCCCTTAGCTGATCCGCGGACGCTGACCTCAGGCCCACCGACTGGTACAGTTGTTCCTGGCCGAGAAAGAAGAAACACTGCTGCAGAGCTCCTCTGCTTTGAGCCTTTTTGGTTTTGATGGTTTGCCCCACATACTGATAGCTTTAGTGGATTCTAGAATCCACAGGGTTCTCACTGCTCTCACAGCGGCATCGTGTTGCCTGCCAGGATGAAGCGGATGATTAAAAAGAAAAGGACATATAGATACCTATAGCCACTATATTTTTGGACACCCTTAAAAGTTGTTTAGTTATGTTGTTCGAACTTAGCCACACGTCAGAGACATCCACTCAGGCATGACACGCACAAATCAAGAAGAACCGCAATTGCCGGTTCTAGGCTCAAGTCCCCTTTTGAAAAGGATCGCTTCGCCGCTTTTCATGGTAGCGGAGCGCTGGCCGTAAGAGCCGCGCTGCCGTCTACACACGTTGAACTACGACGTTGTCTACGACGACGCGCTTGACGAGATCCAGGGCACGATCATCGGGATCAGCTGGCATTTGGCTGCTGGAGCTTCTCCTGCTAGCGACTTTGGCAGGTGGAGTGGGCTCAGTTGCCATCCAGGAGATCAACTACTACCAGAACGGGTCGGTGGTGGCAAAGACTGGTGAGTGGAAGACCAGGAGGATCCACACCTTGAAGATCGAGACTGCAGAGCACCTTGGCAAGATCTCTTGGGTGAGAGCAGAAAAGGCAGTTCGAGCATCAATCATCTTGCAACAGAGGGCAGCTGGACGACTTTCGAAGGATCTGAAGGAGATCATCGTGGTGGTACCTGCTGGCTGGAGGTTTTTGTCCCGAAGTGCTGTGCGAGTTCATTTCGCACTGGCAAAATAGGGAACTTCTGGTGCACAGTGGCTTGGAGTTTGGTGGAGACGGCGTGAAGGTGGACAGCAAGATCTACTACCCAGCTGTTCGAAGCTTGAGAACAATGGCTGAGGAAAGCCTTCGACTTGTTGCAGAAGCCTTGCAAAGGCTGACAGTGAACCAGTCAACTCAAAGTTGGGCTCGACATCTGAAGTCACCTGACTTGTTCAAGCCCGAGAATCGGGAAGCTGAGTTGAAGCAATGGAGCGATTGGAAATTTGCCTTTTTGAACTATGTCAAGGGCATTGACCCCACGATGTCGAAAGACATGGATGTGGTGTGGATGGTGATTACACCTACGATGACATGTTGGATGAGACCAAAGGCCGTGCTGTGAGGCTGTTCAGCCTGTTGACCTCATATCTCAGGCAGAGACCATTGAAGCTGATTTGGTATGTGAAAAAGGAAAACGGATTCGAAGCATGGCAAATCCTGCTCAAAGAGATGCAGCCGGCTACGAGAGCCAGACCGCTAGCTCTCCTCAGCCAGGTGTCCAAAGTGCAATTCGCAGATGGGAAGACAATCTCAGAACAACTTCCCCAATTTGAATCCATCGTCAATGAATACGAGAGGATTTCAAACCAGAAATACTCAGAGGATGCCAAAGTGGCAGCCATTCTCTTAGCTTGTCCTGCCCAGATTCGACAGCACCTTCATCTATGGCTCACTGAGACGACAACCTATGAGCAGTTGAAGGAGCGCATCATTCAGCTTGAGGCCGTGACAACCAAATGGGACAGCGCGAACAGTTTGATGCTGCCTACACGGGCCACAAGCGATGAGGCAACACCCATGGAGGTGGACTATGTTGGAAAGTCCTACAACAAGGGCAAGAAGGGCGGCAAGGACAAAGGCAAGAATGGAGAAGTAAGGGCAAAGAGAAAGGAAAGAGTAAAGACAACCGTGGCCCTTGGAAGGGCAATGAGAAGGGCAAGACACATTGCGAGAAAGGTCCTGGCAAGAAAGAAAAGGCCTATGAGAAAGGCACCAAGGGTGGCAAGTCTGGTCTATGTCACTCGTGTGGAACGCCTGGACATTATGCCAAAAATTGTCGGAAGAGGGTCAACCAGATCGAAGAGCGGGTGAACCCAGGTGGAGCGAGTTCTTCGTCAACGGGTATGAACACCACCTGAGGCCAGGTCTATGGAGATCTTCGACCTAACTACACCTGCTATCCATCGGAGAGTGGGTATGATCCAGGTGGAGCGCTATGAGATGGAGGAGTTCTTTGACCCTGACGAGTTCGAGTACATGGAGTCATGGAGTGCTACGAACCAGTAGTGGAAGCGCCCTCAGGAGTGGCTATCATCGCCATGGAGTGACCTTGGACAGTGGAGCAGACATTTCGGTCCTGCTGAAGATGCACATGTTGGCTCATGGAGACCGAAGCCAGAGGAGTCGAAGATGGTGGATGCCCAAGGCAAAAGCATTGAGCATGAGGATCCGTGTTCAGGACAAGAAAGGCAAAGTCATTGAGCTCGTGGAGGAGTTCATTTTGGGAAACGTTCAGCATCCCATTTTGTGTGCTGGACGCTTGCTAAGGAGAGGATGGTGCCTTGGGGGTACCGATGGAGTCCTATGCCTGAAGCATGAAGAGAAGAGTGTAGATATTCCCTTGAACACTGAACGCAACTCATTGCAGTTTGAGGCACAGGTGGTGGAAGTGAACAATGAGAAACCACCAGAGACATCGACTACAGCAAGGATCTTGCAGGCTATCTCAGCAAGTATGCGCAGGGTTTGGAATTGGCGCCAGGATGGCACCGACTTCCAAATGGTGTGGCAGTCTACAGTGACCCTGTTGCCTGTCATCTGCTAGATCCAAAGGTAGCGTTGAGAAGATCTACAAGGCAAGAATGACACTTGTAAAGAACGACGATGGCACTTGAACGCAGATGGAGAATGTGGAGGACTACAACAATATGGGCCCCAATGCTTTCCGCAGAATCAGTCCTTCTGCAAATCCTCTGAGGACCTTGAGCTTCTTTGCGCCCACGAAGATCAAGGACTACTGGGAGCAGGGTTCAGAAGCCCCCATCATGTCGTACCCAGAGATTGAGGCTTCGTCCATGCAGAGGACGGCCTGGTCTGAAGATGAAGGAGAAGAACCAGAAGTCCTGGAAGGACAAGAGATGATGCATGACGCGGAGAAGGATGTGATTGTGAACAAGCCCAATGAGATTGAATTGGATGAAGTGATCTACTCCGACAAGACCACTGTCAAAGACTTGCAGTTGGCGTGCAAGGAGAGAGGCTTGGCTCACACAGAAGCGAACGACGTCTCCTTGATCGTCTACTAGCCTTCAAGGTGAACCTAGAGAACCAGATGCAGTTGTCAGCGGCGAACAAATTGTTCCAGGAGAACCAGCACAGACCTATTAGCCTGGGACAGCCAAAGCTACCTTCTGTGGAGGAACAGGAGCTGCACTTCGTCACGCACCAGCCATATGCACCATGGTGTCAAGCTTGCATCGCCAGTCGAGCGAAGGAAGATCCCTACAAGTCCAGCGAGAACAAAGAGGACATTGGGAAATCTGTCACCCAGATCGACTTCTGCTATACTTATACTGGCGATGAGGACAGGCTGGACGGGAAAACACCAGACAAAGAATTTGGAACTTGTCTGATAGTGACCGGCTCTGATACGAAAGCCATTCATGCTGTTCCAGTACCATCCAAGGGTACAGCTAGTCTGAAGACAATCACGGAAGAAATCATCAGGTTCTCCTGCTTACAGAATGCTTCCAGGGATAGCTGCATTTTCCAAGCAGACTCAGAACGTGCCACTCGACAAATCCTTCGTTCCGTGCAACAAGTTCGCAGCATGTTGGGGCTGACAACGGAGATCAGGCTGACAGGAGCTGGTCAGCATGCGTCAAATGGCCAAGTGGATGGCAAACTGCCTAAGGACATTGGCTGAAGACCGTGCAAGGTGAAGCGTTTGGGGAAACTTCCACGTGTTTCCATGGGCATTCAGACACGCTGCTTTCTTGGTGAACCGCTTCAGAGTACTTGAGAAGTGTGGCAAAACAAGTCATGAGTTTGCCACAGGACGACCGTACAAAGGGAAACTGGCACTGCTTGGAGAGTCTGTCACGTTCAAACCTTTGGTGCAGTACAAAGGGAGCAGTGTGTTCCAACGTGGTGTATGGGTTGGAAAGCATCCATGGAACGACTCACACATTGTGCTGACATCTGAGGGAGCATTTGAGTCGAGGACCATTCGCAGATTGCCAAAGGAGGACAGCTTCATTGCCACAGACATTGTATCTGTTCGTGGACTACCATGGAGCTACTCACCTCAGGGCATCCTGATGAGGCAGACTGGGCAGAAACCAAGAACGAGACAGCCGACACTGGAGGAGGAAGCAAACGAACAAGAATTGAAGGAGATTGCCAACGAATCGTTGCGGCGGATGGTATCGTCACTCCAGCACCCGGACTACGAGCACCGGATACTCCTGGCTTGTTAAGCACATTTGCGCCTATGACACCTACACTACCCTCATCTCCAATCAAACCGGCAGGGAAGAGATCACTCGAACAAGAGGCTGAAGGAGAAGAGAGGATGTCGAAGAAAGTTGATGCTTCGACATCGCCTCGGAAGGGGCATGAGAAAAGGGTGATCGACGACGATGAGAATGTGGAGAACAAGGAAAAGAAAATGAAAACAACGGATGTTGCTTTGCCCTCAGCAGCAACACCTGAAGCCAGACCTGTTGAGGCGTCACCAAGGGGCCCACCAACAGCACAGCTATACCCACCAAGGTATGCAGGAGAGGAGGCCATTGAGGTGCATGGAGATGTGAGGTTGAAGAGGAGTTCTACAACTACGGAGGTGATGAAGATGATGATCCTCCTGAAGTGAGTGAGGAAGAGCTAGAGAGACTCGACAAAGAAGCAAAGGAGAAAGAGATCAACCGAACGCTGCAAATCCCTGCCATGATCGAGACCGACCAGCAGGAGGTGGAAGACACTGGTGGCTATGTCATCAGCGCCAAAGAGGTCATGTGCTGGAAGCATCGGTTGGAGCAAGGAGGTTGGTTTTGCAGGGCGAGATTGGTGGCTCGACAGTTCCGCAACTCAGTTGACATTGAGCAGACCTTTGCACCAACTTCACTGATGGTGATTCCTAAGCTGCTGGTGCATCTCCTGGTGAATGTGCATCGGCGCTTTGTTGCGGTGACGTTGGACGTCAAGGCCAACGTACAGCTGCAGCACAGTGGTTCAACCTGTTTTCCACTACACGCATAGAGTATGGTATGGAACAGGGCAGCATGCAACCGACTCTGATGTTCATCTCAAGCTTGCTGTACCTCACTGTGCACGTTGATGATGTTTTCATTGTGGGCAGAGAGGACAAGGTCAGGGAGTTTGTCGCCTACCTGAAGGGTACAAGGAGATCGAAGAGAACTACAAGCTGAAACAGAGCATGAAGAAGATTGGCAAGTCCAAGGATGTGAGGTTTTGCTTGCTGATGCTTTGGCCGACGCTGGACAAAGCAGCTGGCTCGAGCATGGAGGAAAAGAACCAAGAAGGAGGCCTAGATTGCTGGGTCACAATGTGCTTGTGCGCTTGCGTGGAAGCCTTGAGCATTTGTCAGTGGCTGCGGGTCTACACGTCTGAGTTCATGCATGGCGCGAGCAACTTCATCGTGAAGTATATGTGAAGGAGATGTTCACAGTGAAGGTCAAGGTGACCATTGAAAAGGAGGCTCAGGTCTCAATTTGGCCAGAGACTTCTCTCCTCGAGAAATATGAGGAGGAATTGAGAGAAGCCCAAAATGACTGCGCGCAGAAAGACCGGACCTGTACATCGATGAGCTGGAGAACCAAGTGCGAGAGCTGAAAGATAGAGTCATGGAATTTGGCCATGAGATCCAACTGCAAAGCAGGAGCTCTCCTGTAGATTGCCTGCGTAGGATGAACAGCTTTCGCGTGACCAAGACAGGATGTAAAATCCATTTTTCCCCCGAGTGCACGCATTGGCCAGGGCGCATGGATGTGAAATTCTGCGTAAGGTGCCTGAGTGGAGGGAGCATGTTCGAACTTAGCCACACGTCAGAGACATCCACTCAGGCATGACACGCACAAATCAAGAAGAACTTTTCACATGTCGTACTTGCTTGCCAGCATCGTTGGAAATATTTTTTGACACCCCTTGGAACTGTACATGTTTCAGTTGTCAAAATTATATCCAACTATGCTTGCAAATGAATATAGTTTGGAGACCCTGAAAACTTTACAATTTCAACCGGTTCGATAAATAGACGAGCGAATATTTGGAAAAAGACCAAACAATGTGATGATCGACACAAAACTTGGAGATGAACCCAGCATGAAGTGGATGATTAATGTTTAGAGACGTGTGTATAATCACTCCTTTTTTGTTGAACAAGCTTACAATTATTTTAGCAGATTTTAGCTATGTCTCTCTATGAACACTATTTTTGGGGACCCTCTTGCAAATTGTTTGCAAGCATGGTTGGACATATATATATATATGTATGTATGTATGTATGTATGTGTGTATGTATGTACGTATGTATTTTTCGACCCTCTTATGCAGTGTGCATTTTCAGGGGGTCCAAATTGTACTATTTTATGCACACATTTTGTACAAGAAACTATACACTTGCAACCAGCTGACGCATATGCGACCGTAATAAACTATACAATTCCAACCAACTGATGCATATGATGCAATCGTGAAAGATATATCAAGACATAGACATAGATTGTTGAGAGGGCCTTTCATGGACCTAGTGATGCAAATCATACGATAAGGAACACATTTTTCAATGTTTTCTCCCACTCTCACTCGTCTCCCAGACAGACCTTATGATGCAGGATATGCATTTCGTTCCCAAGCGCAAATGTGCCCCTAGCTAAAGCTATGTAGCGATGAACGCACACCAACAGTATCATGCCCCTCAGCACCTTCGGTGCGGGCGGATTCTGGGACTAGAAATTAGTGTCCATACCGCCTTTTCTTTGCGGAAATTGAATGGCTTAGGCATTTGCTCAGTTGGTTAGAGCTGAGGAAATGCATGCCAAGCAGTTGGTCGAAATGCTTTGCCAAATCAATCTACGAGCCATCTGAAAAGATTCAGGCACTTCGCACAGTCTTCAAAGCAGAATCAGTTGAGGTGAAATGCTCTGAGTGCTCTTTCAGCATCAAGAGCAGCTGGCGTTTTCGACATCCTAAGACTTTGGCAACCTCCATCCTGGTACCCAGCAACGGACACAACAAGTGCCAGCGTGCTTTCGCAAAACGTTGCTTCTGGGTGTCACGTGGAGAATTGCCTGCAAAGGCTGATATCCACTCCAACTTGAATTTTTGCAGCCACAATCGACTTCTGATGCAGTGCGCTCCTTGTGGTGGGAAAATGATGTGTGAGCATGGGCGGCAGAGGTACCAGTGCAAGGATTGCAGAGGTGGCAGAATTTGTGAACACGACAAGCGGAAGGATCGCTGTCAGCTGTGCAAACATTTGCCTCTTAGACGGAACAAACGAATCGTGAGGCAGAAACAGCAGATGCTTGCTGGCTGATCGCTTTTAGACGTCTACCATTCAACTCGTTGACTTCCCTTTTGATGTACGTTTTGAGCAAACTCATCCGCCAGACCGAAGGAGGACTGTGAGGAGTGCCCGGATTGCATGAGGCGTGCGCCTGCCCGAAACCCGGAACTGCACCTTCAGAATCGCTAGCTGGAAGCGGACTCCAAAACAGCGGCCATGTGGAGGATGGTCATAGCATGTCATGGCAAAGCTTGGTGGCGTAACGAAAAAGAACGATCGATCTCTCTCTCTCTCTCTCACTCTCCTTGAGCCAAAAAGCCAATATATTTGGTTACGTGTCGTCTCACTCGACTCACCTTCGCGGTCGACTTATTCACCCCTCGCAGTACAGTGGTGCAGCGATCAAGATGAATCCGATGAATGACACGGCGCGGCACTTGGACGTCCGGAGCTGGGGGCACTTGCGGGCGGGCTGCCCACTTCAATTGTAGAATAGATAGAATAGTACAGTAGCTTCTTGTTACTAGCAGCTACTTGCTCCTAGTAGTAATTACGGCCAGGAGCCGCTAGTAGCGCTGTAGCGTCCTTGCTCATAGTAGGGATGCCTGGGGCCCCCAGTAGCGTCCTTGCTCCTAGTGATGAATAGAGTTTTTCTTGTTTTTGACCCTCGCGCCATTTCCCCACATCCCACCAAAGTTGGGACCAGTTGGATGCCTAGATCGATCGGTGACTGAGATTTTGGAAGCTGGCTGACATCGGAGCAGCGGAATGATGCACTGCTGCCGAAACAAGATGCTTTGATCGGGTTTTGCTTGCCAATAAGCCAAAAACATTTACTGTAATCTGGACTACAGTAACTGTCCTTCGCCTGACCGTCTTCACCAGCGCCGAAGAGTCGGTTGTGAGGTTTCACCGAAAGCTCGCTTGCCACGTCTCGATCGGGGCCACGTCTTGTTGAGGTGCTCAGCATCGTGGCCAAGGCCTTGGCATCACTGCCCCATACCGGGAGGGAGGAGAGCGCAGATCGCAGAGCAGTGAGGAAATCAAAGGCATCAAGAGGAATCTGCATTCACATGTCCAAATGCTTGAGAGCTGATCCAGGTTTGCCAACAAACTCAAGAGGGCAACCAATCCGAAGAAGAAGAAGAAAAAGAAGAAGAAGGAGGAGGAGGAGAAGAAGAAGAAGAACAAGAAGAAGAACAAGAAAAAGCACAGGAAAAAGAACAAGAACAAGAAACAGAAACAGAAACAGACAAATAAAAGGACAGAGAAAGAGAAGGAGAAGGAGAAGGAGACGAGGAGGAGGAAGGAGAAGGAAGGAGACGAGGAGGAGGAAGGAGAAGGAAGGAGACGAGGAGGAGGAAGAAGAAACAAAGCTTGACATTCTTTCAGCGCTGGGATTCATCTCAGAAGAGGGCAGCCTGCCCACCTGCATGTTGCAGACACGCGAAGATAAGTGGTTTGGGATGTTTTCTGAAACAGGGGTATAGAAGATGCTCTCCGAAGCCATAGATGTCATTGCTGAGTTGAGCCGCTAGGAGGTCGCCCATGAACTTTCCTGCGTGATCAAGTGGCCTGGGTTGAAGAAGGACTCGAAGGACTTGAAGGACTCCAAGCAGATCCAGGTGAGAGCCGACAGAGCTGCGCAAACCAGCCTTCTCCAACAGAACAGTTGACCGACTTAGTTGACTTCTAGATTTCCCACCTAAGTCAACTTTCTAGACTTAGTTAACTGAACAGTTGATTTCCCTTGTTGATCCGAAATTCGTTGACATCTGAGCAATGTCTTTCCCCTGACGAACCTAGGAGTTCAAAACGGAAAAGGGTATAGACAAAGACACCAGTGCCTTTCGTATGTGTGGTATACTTGGACTGTTGTTACAGTCCAGAAGTGGGTAGGTGCACATATCATGGCATGTCATTTGTGTCCAACATTTGGTGAGTTTAAGATGTCTTCGTCGCATCCCATTGCACGTTGGATCGTTGGTCGCGTCGAGGCAGGCAAGTTTATTTATGGCCACGCAGGGCAGCCCAAACTCCCAAACTCCTGCCTCGCGGTAGAAAAGTCGATCTGGGGAGAGGCAAAAGAGATGTTGGTTGCCCTACAAGGCTACAAAATGACGTTATCCTTTGCATTTGATTCGTTTACAGTTTTTTTTGTCCAACAACTGGAGAACGCGGGGGCGACATGGCGTACTCGAGGTGATGTGGCGGCCAACACGACAAGACCACGCAGAAAGGCTTTGATCAGCTCAGTGGCGAGGGGGAAGTGATCAATCTTATGAAATCATGTGGGGAGGTTGTCATGTCGTCTGACATCAATTTTTTTGGGGCAGAAGTGAAGAACACAGAGCAGGTTTGTACACTGCTTGGAATGATCATGGAAGTGGAAAAGCTCCTGTTTGTAGTCATTTCCACTTTCATCATGATTCCATGGAGTGTAATTACTTTTTCCGTAACAAATACATCAGAAGCCCATGATCGGGACTGAGGGAATCAGAATGCTGTCGCCGCTAATTGCTCAGAGAAATAGTATGGTTTCGAGATGTTTCGAGGACTTTTGGCTCCAACATCCAAATCACCAACATGAGGCTCATCAAGTATGTTATTAGTCAGCCTGAGTCAGCCTCCTTTGATCTTATCTATGCCATTATGTTCAGAAGAATCAATTCCCTCTCAAACTTATTGACTGGGCCAGTTTTTTGTCATGCTGTTTCCACACCCCGAACACGTATGAGAGCAAGAGACAGCCTCAGAACATCCAGAGAGCCTGCCGCTGGACCCTCTTCGAGTGTTCCTTTGAAAGCTTCGACTATATCTGATGGAATCAAAAGGTTAGCTGCAAACCTCAGCACATAAACGTGGTTGGTGATCCCTGTCGCAGGTTACCGAGCTGATCCACTACAGCGGTGGAGTGGGCAGTTTTCGACATCGGAAATGTGATGTGCGGCTGTGTGGCTGTGCAATTTCTGTACACTTATGGTCCTGAGGGCAACATCGTTTGTTTCAGAAGTGACAGGTTCAATTGGAGCTGTGCATGCTGTTGTGAGTCCAACTTGCGTGACAGCTTGCACGCCCTATGATGTGGATGACTAGATTGATTTGCATGCTAAGTTCCAGGTGAAACGCTTGGAGTTTAGAAAAGCAGCTTTCGGCCCTGCAGGTCAAACCATAAGGATTCAAGCTGGACACGTGTCTTGAAGTCGTCAATCGCCTAAGGATTAATCTTAGCAACAAGAAGTCCGGCCATGACTGAGCCACATTGCACTTCTTCTCAACATCGGTATACAGAATATCAGCTGCAGGGCGATTGCACTCTTCGCCACCTGGTCACCTGGCCGTGGCCGAATTCAGCCCATACGGTCGGGGCGTTGGGCTTTGCAGCTCATGGCAAGTCTGGAGGAGAGTCGTATTGATCTTACCAACGGATTGTCTTGTCCCGAATCAAAAAAGCGTAGTCGATCCTGTTCTTAACAAGGATGGATCTTGAAAGCATCCTGTCTTGGCCACCACCTTGCTGCTACTAGTATGAGCTGATGCTTTTTGAAATGGACAGCCGCGCCTTGAAGTGCACACCTTGAGGAGATCGTGCAAGCACCAGAGATCGGCAGTCATTATGAGATCATTGACAAGATCGGCCAGGCATGTAGGGAGGGCAGGCCCCTTTTGTCGGATGATGAACTTTGGATGCCTGGACAAGATGCCGTGAACATATGATGGTGATGATCATGATGAACAATCAGTACCCCGAACGGTAACATGCTCTTTGACAATTGGAAGTCTGAATGCCGTCATTTGAAGCGCTTATATAATATAGAGCCAGATCATCATATAGCATTAGGACACAATCCTCGATGGGCAGGGGTCCTATGGTGCTGTCTATGGGGCAATTTGCCGGTCGGATGGACGGCAAGTGGCAATCAAGAGGACTGCTGAGGGTCAGGTGTGAAGGCTCATCCACAAGGTCTCGTCCACGTTAGTCATTGGACAGTTGCCCGTTAGTCAGACTAGACTCAGAGTGGCAACGAGGACTCCCAAACAGACCAACCGGGTGTTTGTTTTCGCTTGACCTGCTTTTACATCCCACCCACATGCTGATGTGCAACTTCTTCCGAGGCAGACTTTGAGGCCTGGATTAGTGCAAGTGAAGGTAGGTGCCAACTGTGCTGATGAAAGCCCAAAGTTCATTGCATCTTATCAAGTATATCCTCATTCTTGCTCGAGAAATGGAGCCCAAATGTGCCCACATTGCAAGACGTGGAAAATCGATGAAAACCAACGGCTTCCCCCTTTTCCCAGATCTGTTGGTCAAATCCCACCAACATCTCAGGACTCTCTACTGCGGTGAAGAGGGTGTCCCGGCGACCACTTTGCGTGAGATCTCCGTGCTTCGACGCTGGGACCATAACCGCTTGGACCATGGCCCAACAACTTAGATGCAAACCATGTCGTTTCAATTTCAACATCCGTTTCACGGTCCTGTCAGGTTCTCAGTTCGACTCAGGCAGTTTGAGCCATGAGCATGTGGTGAAGCTCCATGACATGATTGCAGGCGAGGTTGATGTGCAAAAGCTACTAGTAGCGTCCTTGCTCCTAGTAGCGATGCCCTTTGCTCCTAGTAGCGTCCTTGCTCCTAGTAGTAAGGCCAGGAGCCCCTAGTAGCGTCCTTGCTCCTAGTAGCGATGCCCTTTGCTCCTAGTAGCGTCCTCTACCCCCCCAGGCGCTGTTTTAAACATGTCTTGTTGCGACCCCAGCTCGTCGGGCCGAAACAGCTAAGCGGCGGCAGGCATGTCAAACACCGAGCTGGATTTAGAACGCACAGCTTCCGAAGCCAGCAGTACTCTGAAAAAGATTGGAACATATTTGTAGAGAGCACGACGCCCTGGAGGTGTCTGTTTTTTCAGTGATTTTTTTTTTTGCGTTTTTCTACGATTTTCAATAGATTTTCTATGTTTTCGTTGCATTCACCCATGGTACACATCACTTGTGCCCATAGCCTGCTGCCCCTTTGCCATGATCTTATCAACAGAAGCTTTTAAACACATAGCTAAAGTCTGTATCTGTCAATTGCATCATAGCTGTCATCTTTGGAGGAATGATAGACTGTAGCTGATGGGCTGCATACATCATCTTGTATGTATCATCGCTAAATGAAGCAGCAAAGCAATCCCTCTGATAGATGCATCCATAAGCATCTTGGCCCTCTTTTCCCTTTGCTTATACCCCTCTTTGATGCTCTTCATTTGGGACTCAGCCCTTTCCAACTGATTGATACAAAGAATCTTCTGGGGCCCATCTTCCAGCTCATCCCTTTTCTCCTCAAGCTTGACTTTCTCCACTGATAGCAGCTGAAAATATTTCCATGCAAGATCCATCTTCTGCACCCCATGCCCATAACTCCTTTCCATTTCCAACCATGTCTTAACCTCACCAACCAAGTGGGGGAATTGTTGCTTGGCACCCCCACCTGATGCCCTGGGAAAACAGACACCTCCACAACGTCGTGTTCTGTATTTGTAACACTATGTACTGCAATTAGCAATCTGCATCAGTGTGCTTCATGTTTTGAGACTTTCTGCCTCCTTGTGTTTGTTGCCACCTAAGCCGCAGATGACCAATACATTTGGATGGTCTTCGAGCGCTTTGACATGGACCTCAGAACCTACCTGCACCGCTACGGCTCTTTTCAAGGTGGCCTGTGCTGGTGGTTGTGCCAATATAAACGGCAAGCCATGTTGAGGCTAAGGGACGATTGATTGTTTGAGAGGAACTCAATAAACCAGAGAAATCTTGCAACGCCACCCAACACAAACTGTGACACTCCAAACAGATTCTGGCCTTTCTTTGTGTTCAGTTGCTGTCCGGAACATCCACATTTTGCCGTTGCTCCTTTTGATCTGTTGCCCCTGTCAGGCGATTTACTGCGGCGTGGTGCCTGGCAATTGTTCTCAGGCTGGGTTTGGTGCTCGCAAAAGCATACTTTGGGGTTTATCTGCAATGCATTTCTGGAAAAGAAGATCATACAGTATACTATTATATACTGTAATCTTCTGTGAGGCACTGCACATCAGAGTGCGCTGCTGCAGTTGTTCAGATCCCTTCTAGTGGTTCTCGGCAGGGCTGGCTCATTGTCACCAGCGGCTCGTTCTTCATCGGGACTTGCAACTCTGCTGCAGGTACAGGTAGCAGTCTTCAGTTGTACCTACCAGATGCGAGGATGTGTCAACAGAGGTACGACAGAACTAAAAGGTTTTCTCCCAGCCATTTTCGAGCCCAGGAAGCCACCCAACATCTTGATGAAGATGGGAGAGATGCGTTTGGTCTTGGCAGATTTGGGCCTTGCTCAAATGTGAGCCACCCAAGAGTTGAGAGATGTTATGAGCATGACTTGCAAGCCGCTGAAGGGACAGAAAACCTGGTCTTTTGCGCTGAGGATGCGCCCGAGAACAGCTGTTTGCAGTGGTCAGGCTCCGGGTGGTGGACTGTGTCACGAAGGTGGTAGCAGTTTCGTCGGCTCACACATTGCTGTCACTATAACTATAACAAAGGCCAAAGCCCTCTGTCTGACATTGTTGGTTGACACCCCAAATTAACAGAACGGAGTGCCGGCATGTCAACCTGCCGTTGTTTTGATGTGTCTTTTGGCTTTGACTCATGCCCACCTCCAAGAATCAGCACTCCAACATGAGTTGTTGAGAATTGCATGAGGTGTGTACACTTTGGTATCGTCCGATCGAGCTTCTCCTGGGCTTCCGTCACTACGGCCCACCTATGGATGTGTGGTCGCTGGGTCTGGACCTTTGAGGGAACGTTTCTAAATACATGAAGCAGGAATGGTTGACAACATGCAGACGCACTTTCATTGACCATACTGCATAGCCTTTCAGGATGGGGTCAGCTTGTCCTTTCTCTGATCATTGCCGAGGTTGTATCCTGTCTGAAATGACCACCAGACGAGTGCTTTTCCCTGGGGACTCTGAGATCGACACGATCTTTAGGCGAGCGACGAAAGAAGGGAAGCTGACGAACAGGGCCACCACGATCTTTCGCATGCACCTGTCTGAGACACAAATTTTTCTACGCGCTGCGTATGGCTCACATACAGGATGCCGGAGCCAGAACAACACAGAAGCCTCGAAAGCGCTATGATGCGACAATGGTCCAATAAAACAAAGGTATTTTTTGAGTCTCCCCCTCTCTCTCTCTATTATATATATATATAGTTATATATATACTGTACATATAAGACCTCTCTCAGTGCAAACCTGGCTAATCCAGCAAACGACAGGAGAACCAACAAAAGTGCGAAGCACCGCCAGGATCTTCCGGCTGCTGGGTGAAGATCTCAGAGTTGGGCGGCTGCGTGACCAGATCCGAGAGCTTTTCGATCATGCACATCCTTCTGGAAGCCAGTCCTCCTTAAGTGATAGGAAACATCTCAAGGTCTTCAAAAAGAGAAGGACACTCATTTCGGAAGATCACGCTCAGGCACACCAAGTGAAGAGACCTGGCCTGGTGTATCAGCACTGGAGTATTTCAGCAAAGACTTCCCGGACTGGAGCAACACCCTGCACATTCCAGGCGCTGCAGATCTAAGACCTGGGTTCTGAAAAGAGTTTCTATTCTGTCTTTGAATGAGATGGCACCATCAGGAACCTACGAGATAGCTTCAAGATGTTTGGTAAGTTGTGTTTCCTTTTTAGAGTGTTTTTTTGTTTTTTAACTCTATTTTTTTGAGTGATGAGAGAGGTTCATCTCACGATGTATTGTGCATCTATAGCAAGGTTGCCCTTCAAGGATGTTGAACTTCCTCCACCGGAATCACACCGAAAACACCAGCAGATCCAGGACAACCTGAAATCTTCCGGCAGGAGGGCAGTCCCACCAAAGCAGTGTGCAGGTTTGAGCGATGCTGGCCATGACCTCTTGGAGCAGTGCCTCCAATACAAGGCAGCGAATTCACCACACGAACCATTTCTCGACACGATTTTCCAAGCCCTTCTTGAGTGATGGTTCGTGAATGTGTGTGTGTGTGTGTTCATGTTGGTGGATTGTGCCACAATTCTCCTTTCCGTACCGGTGGTTCGCCAGGCCCACCGCCGGATCTCAGCTGCCACTGCACTGCAGCATCCATTCTGTGGTGAGCCTGCGAGCATTTGGCTCTAGGGGTAGCCTGAGCGGACCATCTACAGAACAGGCGGACAACCCACCGAATTCACCTGCACGGGGATTGGGCAGGAATCCAATGTGTGGGATCCGTTCCTGGTAGAAAAGCCTAAGTCTAAGGCTGTTAGTGTTGCTCTCTAGTCTCTTGTTTGGTGCTGACACCATCTAATGTAATTTTTTCCTTTGTGCTTCTTCTCGAGCAATTGTTGTGCTGATTTGAGCACCATTTTGAGCAACATGCGGCTCATGCGTTAGAATTTGATATACGAACGAGCACCTCGGCATGACGCAAAAAAGGCACCAAAAAAGGGCACCGCCTCGCGGCTCAGCCCGGCTCAGCGGTGGTCCTACAGAGCAAAATGGAAGGCTTCACTGTTCACCTTCAACTTAACATGAAAGTGGACAACCACCTGTTTCTAGATTAAACGGAACATTTTTGTGTGTGGGATTTACTCTTGACGATCCCGTCCGCCTTCGCCTGCCCCGGCAGCCTCCTTGCTCTTCCTCCTCGCTTACAGTCATTCACTTACACTCACTCAACTCAACTCACACCAACGCATCTCACGCCCTGGTGCTGCTAACCCTGTTTGATGCCAATGTGTCTCCTGCGAGTAAGCATCATACGTAAAAGTGTTCTGGAACTTGTGTCATTGTTTGTGTGCCTGATAATTTCCGGCACATGTGCATCTGAAACATGCATTTTTTTAATGTCCAATCCTGTACTTTGCATGCTTAGATTGTTCTCCAGATAGCGATAGCTATAGATTTCTTACTTCACATAAGAATGAGCTGCCCAATGCTCGCTTTCGAGACACGCTGCCAGTGCTGGGTGCCGGTGCTGGGTGCTGGCTGTGCGCTGGTGCTGGGTGTGCTGGTGCTGGCCGGCAGGTGGCGGTGTGGGGATAATAACAACCCACTGGGATTAAACCACCCTATCCACATCGCCCAACTTTCAAGCGACAAGCTTCCTGGGAAATTGTGAAGGGTTTTGGCAACCTGAAGAAAAAACGATCGCCATGATTTTCCGATATGATGGGTAAGAGCTTCCCTGGACTCCACCCAAAGCTCCGCCAAGGTCTCCGACGGTGCTGTGAGGCTGTGTTATTGAAACACCTTCAAGGCCCTCGCGATCAAGCACGATCACCTCTTTGGGCATGTTAGCCGAAGTCAGCCTTCAGACTCCAGAGGCCTACTTCCCCCTTTGCTCCTTCACCTACAGCTTCCTACAGGTGCTCTTTGCTGTGCATTTGAAGCCTACAGGTCCAGAGCATCCAGCGCAGGGCAAATGGGCCTAGGGCGGGTGGCGCCACGCCGATTTCTGATCCAATTTTTTGCCAAAAATCAAGGAATCTAAAAACCTGATGTCAGCAATCGATCAAGAAGGTTGTGGTTGTGGTTGTGGTTGTGGTTGTGGTTGTGGTTGTGGTTGTGGTTGTGGTTGTTGTTGTTGTTGTTTTCGGCGCTTGAGCAGAGCCCACGTCCTCTCAGATTGGTGCTAGATACTTGGTGCTTGCCTTGCGCTCAATGCCTGCGCTTGAAGTCATGCCAGAGCACGGCTCAAGAGTTGTCTACAGAAACTGGGTCTCGGGTTTGGCTGCATGTCTCTATATAATCCATTATAATCCAAAAAATCAAAGGGTGGGGCAGAAGCGTTTTCGTTGGCGACGCATGTTGTTCTTGTTTGCGATCTATGGAAACAGAACAGTTATTAACAATTGCTTGTTTCATTTCGTTGCCTTCCGCTGTCACTGTGCCCTTGAGTGCTTGATTCGCTTCTACCACAGCTGTTCTGGATATGATATGCCGATATGCTACATTTGGAGGACCACAGGGTTTTCACCTGTATCAAGAATTGAACACAAATCTGATGTATGACGCTTGGCTTCAAAGAGGCCAGTGTTGGGGGATTCGCCACATGGTCGTTCAGACAAAACCTTCAGAAGGACAAAACCTTCAGGAGCACAGAACATGCATCTTCGATTTGTGCGGTTTGAAGCAGTATGATCTGGCGTACTCAGTGTTCGGTACCATTTTTATGTTTTTTTTGTTTTGCTTACTTGTAGGCTTGCATGTTTTAATCACCCGTTGCCGCTCTCGAGATATATTGTCTGTGAAAAAGGCCTCATAGGGAATGGTTTCCACTATATGGTTTGTACACAAACACGCTGAACAAAAGGTGGTCAATTGAGACATGAAGAATGGCAACAGTGTTGTCAGAACGGACTCGTGTGTTCGTTTTCACAAACAGAATGCAACACGTTGTAGACTTGCGCATTTAGTATAACACTATGTTTTCAAACATGTCCACTGTTTAAAGCAATGCCTGAGAGGGGAGAGTTCTGTTGCAAACAGAAAGGCTTGATCGATTTGCAATGTGGAAACTCCTGTGTTCTTTTGTTGTTTTGGGTTGAGCACAGAATGAAGCAGCTTGATGGTGGCGCGCGGTCCCTGTCATGCCGGTGGTGGTGCAGCCAGCAAATGCTTGAATGTTGGAATGGAGACAGATGTTGGATCCAAGAACTTGAATGAATCCGAGCAGATGCAACATCCAAGTATTTTCTGCGGGTGCAGATGCATGTATTAAGGATCATCCTCTCTTTGGTTGACTTTTTTTGCCAAAGTTCAGCTGGCCAGGTGATGCAGATTCCACAACAACGTGGAAGGTTTTCACTGGGACAGTCGTTCGCTCTTTCAGCGGGGTCTTGTGGGGTCTTCACACGTAGTCTATGGCTCTTGTCAGATCGTGACCCCGACCTCAGACCCCGGTGCTACTGCTAAGCCATCCTGATTTGAACACGATACAAGGGCCGAATATGGGCACTACGTGACAGTATGTACATTTGGATACATTTGGATTTGTGATGGACCATAAATCTCGGCCAGGGCCACCAGAGCAGAGCTTACTGCCATGGGCTTGACGCCGGCACAGGTGCGGACGCTTCAAACACGCAGACCTGGTTGTCGTGCTCTTGTTGCCCTGCACTCTTCAAGCTTGTTAAGAGGTTTAACATGGTGTCACTTCCAAGATCCACAGTATACAGGAATTGCAGAAGAAGATAACCAGCAACTTGTTGGCTGCCTGATGCCCCAAGTCATTTCTTTGTGCACTTGAGGCGGACCATGAGTTGGTAAGACAAAGCGAGCTGGAGGTGGACGGCGGCAATACGATGCAATTCCACTTAATACTATGGACAAGTGATCTGGACAAGTCATAAATTACATCTATTTATATAGTTTGACTCAACTATGACTATGACGGGATTTCTTTCGATCATGAGTGTCACAGCCGTGCTTGCTGAACCTGGAGCGAGTTGCAGCAACATATGCCACCTCTTTGCCCCGTTGGAATCACGATCCTTGGCTTCCATCAAATCGAACACTCCGGACCAGTGACGAATCTTGGGTTGGGCTGACCCCTTGAAGTCTACCACTTTCTAGGTGTGATGAGTCCATGAGCTCTTATCGCAATCCCAATGCAACCTCGTACACCACGCTGGCCCCTCCTGCTTTAAAGAGCTTCATCAATCTCATTGAAACAAAGAGCCTAGTATGTTACATGAGATGCTTAAACCCGAGCCAGTGAATGTCGCACTGTCAGCAAATATCAAGTTTGTTCCAGCTTTGAGCAGGTAATAGAAACAAGCATCACTCGATGGGTGATGCTCTTTGGGTGCATCATTTGCGCACTTATCAGATTCAGCCTGCGTTCAGAGGAAACACTTGGAAGAAGCTCATGCTTGCGATTTGGGACCCAGTCATGGGTCATGGTGTGAATCTGAGGTGCCCTGCTGCCAGTAAGCCTGGTTCTGTTTTTTTACCTCATCTACAGCTCCTCGGAAGCAGTTGTTGACCAACTTTAATCTGAATTCCATTTGAGATATTTGAGTTTTCAACAATAAGCTTGGATGTCGCATGGAGTGAGGGGCCTAAAGTATGTCAACCAACCATATCGGTAGCAGCACAAACAGTCGAAGGGAACTTGCAACACCGCTTTTGTCACATGTGCAAGGTTACATCTTGGAGCAGTGGCAGGCTGGAGCTGGATGTTGTTCTTTTGCTGAAGAGACCATTTTCGGTGGCTGCCCAGCAGCAAGTTGCAGCTTGGTATTCAAATCGGTGGGTCTGCTTTTGTTCCGACTTCACTTCGAACATCTTCGAACCAAAGGCTATAAATGTGGTTTAGCTGGTCTAGCCGATCCATTTTTCTTGGAACAACCAGGATCTTCCACCATTTTTTGTAGTTTGGTCTCACACTCTCCAGATCCTTGTGTTCCGCTTGCGTCTGGACAGGACTGTGACGTGCCACTGACTCTTTGGTTCTGGGTTGCCATGGCTGGAGGGCCCAGAGCTGCAACCGGGGTTTTCTCTCCAAAAAATATGATTTGCTTGTTGATACTTTATCGTCCACAAGTCTGTGCTTTTGGTCTCGTAAGTGCCAGAAAAAAAACATGAGCCACTTCGTCATGGCCTGTCATTTCCACAAGATCTGAGAGTTCTGTGGCAAAAGGAACCATTTTTTGACGAGGACAACGATCATGTTTCATGCTGCAGTCACAGCAATAGGGCAAACCAAGAATCATATGTTTACTTTTCCTTTGTGTGATGAACATCGTTCGCTTCCGCCGCTTGCGCCCCCCCCAGATGTGTTGGGTCTTTCAGCTGTCAAGTTCAGACCTTTCGATCGCCAAGTTCAACATCTTCTACCACATCAATCTTGGTGGAAGATCCATCCATAGGCAGGTCATCAGGACTGAAGAAGCGCTGTCAGCAGTGCCGAAGAAGCGCTGTCGGCTTCCGTTGTGTGGGTTTTGGAGCCTGCAGACTCCCGAAGCCCATCGCAATCAGAAATGACTTTATGGCTCCTTTTTCTTCCCTATGCAACGCATGCACACCTCCAACCCTTGAAAAGCCTTTTTGCGCCAGGACGGTGTGCAGATACCAGGCAGTCGACTTTGACCGGGCAGTCGAAGAAAGTGGAACCAGGAACCAAATGAACAGTG